CTCTGGGGTCCGCGCTTTCAGCCGCGGCTCGCGCCCGTCTCTGGGGTTCGCGCCTTAGCCGCGGCTCGCGCCCGTCTCTGGAGTTCCTTTAAGCAGCGTTCTTAAACCCTTCTCCTCACGCACCAGGAAACAAAGAGGGAAGAAAAAGTCTCTTGCCTCTTCGGCAGGTGCAGGCTTTTCCCCGGACTCCCTCCCGGCTAGCTGTGGTGCACTAACCCCTTCAGGCTATGTTCAAGCCGCCAACCCCAGTCCTCTCCCTGCGCTCCGTCCGAAACCGAAACCCGAGCCTCAGAGCCTCAGCTCGCAGCCCCGCCCGTCCCGGCGGGTGAGCAGACAAGCCTCTCGGGCTGGTGAGTGCCGGTCGGCACCGATCCTCTGTGCGGGAATCTCCCCGCTTTGCCCTCCGCACCCGTTGCTGTGCACTCCTCCGCGGCTTCGAAGCTCCCCCCGTCCGCCTCCCGCAGTCTCCGCCCGCGAAGGGGCTTCCTAGTGTGTGGAAACTTTTCCTCCTTCACAGCTCCCTCCCACTGGTGCAGGTGCCGTCCCTATTCTTTTGTCTCTGTTTTTTCTTTTTTCTTTTGCTCTACCCAGGTACGTGGGGAGTTTCTTGCCTTTTGGGAGGTCTGAGGTCTTCTGCCAGCCTTCAGTAGGTGTTCTGTAGGAGTTGTTCCACATGTAGATGTATTTCTGGTGTATCTGTGGAGAGGAAGGTGATCTCCGTGTCTTACTCTTCCGCCATCTTCCTCTGTCTCTAAATCATACTTTTAATCTTCCCCTTACTTCTAAAGTTTAGATTAAACTCTGAGGGTTCTGTATAAAAAATAAAACATAACCCACTCTGAACATGACAGGTTTGTATGTACTTTGAAGAGGGTAGCTGAATGGAAGCCAAAGAAACAAACAATGTGCACATGTCCTCTTCTCAATACAAGCAATGTTTATGATGAAGAAAAAAATGCACAGCTATACTAGCCAATTGGAACTATTTCAAAGAATGTAAGCCTCTTGGGGTAGAAATTTATAAAGCCTCATTCCTCAAGGACAGAACCAGGGAGTGACCACCTGAACACTGGAGCAGGTCTATCTATGATCACCTGTTTGTCTTGGTCTTGGTATATGGACTTAATATGACCTACCCCCTCAAAATTCACACTTAGTGATTACCAATATGACTGTCACAATGACATGTAAGGTGTTTTCTAGTCAATTTTCACTTGGTCTCAACTAATTATGTACAAGGTTTCAGCAGTGTCACCTAAATTTAATACTTTATAGAGCTGAAAATGCCAGCAGTGTTAAGGCGATCTTTCATTTGTAGAGCATCTCTACGTAATTTTTACCATTTATTCTTCAAAATAAATTGAAGAAGCATCTTTTATTATTTCCATTTTACATGTGTTGGGGCCGAGGGTAGGCTGCCCCAAAATGTGCCTCAATGGCATATTGATTATTTTGAATTCAAGTTACTTAAGAAACAGCCAATGCAAGAGGGACACTTTGACCCTCCTCTTTGTGTCCCTGAAAGTAGGAGATGAATCTATCACATGAAAGGTGCACTCCCTGCATTTGAAGGCAGAAGGACATACTTATCACAAGAGACAGGGAATTCGGGCAGAGATACCTGTATAAACAAAACATTACTTATTTAATTGACTACCCCAAGCCCAAATTCTGCTTAGATTCTTCACTAATTAAGCACCCAAAGCCCAAGTTTCTTTGTCCTGCCAATTCATCACCAATTTCTCTGTTTAAAAAGTATAAAAGCTGCCTGCTTTGGCCACTTCTTAGGTCCAATTTTTATGGGACCTCCATATGCATGAATTAAAATGTGTTTCTTTTTCTCCTGTTAATCTGTCTCGTGTTAATTTTATTATTAGTCCAGTCACAAGAATTCAAGACAGGTAGAGGGGGAAATTTCCCCCTCCCTGACACATGTAAGGAAACTGATCTTGAAAATGTTATAGGACATCCTATTAAATGCTGTAGTCAGGTCTAGAATCTATGGATTCTGTGTTTGGTTCTGTGGTTCCTTCTATATTGTCAGACTACAATTTGTGATAATTTATTTAAAGAAAAAATTTCTCACCTTTGGGACAGTTTTTCCAAATAACATGTCAGCTGTTCTCATAATTTGTGTTCATCAAACTAAGCAGAATCCTTTCAGGATTAGAATATATGTTGCTGGATGCAAAACAAGGATTGACTTTTGGTGAATTTTGTCCATGTACAGGGCGCAGATTATTGATGCTATGTGGTATAACTCGGTATAGTACCAGAACCTAAAATTTGGGTAAGAGAGAGAGAAAGAAATTTTACTAGACCTGAATGGCAAAATAAAAACTAGTATTTAAAGAGTAAATACTACCAAGCAAAGAGTAAATACACACCACCAAGCAATTCTCTGGCACCAGCGAGATGTCCTACATTCAACTCAATTCTGATAGTATCTACACAGAAGTTGTATCAGAGTCCATAGGTTAAGAGCTCTGTCTCACAAAACTGTCCTCTACTTCAGATGTCAATCACAAGCCCAGGTTGCTACCTGTGCTTCTGACCAATGGGCTATGTGTTGGAGGTTCCAACGACCCCTTCCTTGGGTTCAATTAATTTGTTAGAACAGCTCACAGAACTCAGGAAACCCTTTTACTCATTAGATTACTGGTTTGTTACAAAGGAAATTAAAAGATAGGAATTAATAGCCAGATGAAGAGATACATAGGGTGAGGTCCTGAACAAAGGAGCTTCTCTCCTCGTGGAGTTTGGGAACCAGCATGGTGGCTTGTGGAAGCATTCTGGTTGGATGGTTTCTGAACCCCCCTCCTTTGGGGTTTTATGGGGGGCTTCATTACACAGCCATGATTAAATAATTAGACATTGGGGACTGATTCAACCTCCAGCTCCTATTCCCTCCCTGGAAATCAGGACATGGGAGTGAAAGTTCTCAATGCTCTACTCTTGGTTGGTTCCCCTGGCAACCAGCTCCCATCCTTAGGTGCTCTCCAAAAGTCACCTCATTAACGTAAACCTAGTTTTGGTGGAAAGGGGCTTCTTATGAATAACAAGATATCCATTTCAACTTTATGGCTCTGAAGGGATTTCAGGAACTGAGGAAAAAACACCAAATATTGTAACAAAAGATGCTCCCATTGCTCTTATCACTCAGGAAATCCCAAGGGTTTGGGGAGCTATAAGCCAGGAACCGTGGATGAAGACCAAATATATATGAGAAATATACATATTTTGGACAAAATATATATGAGAAATATATATATTTGGTCAGACCAAATATATTTATTATAAATCATAATATTGCATTACCTAATTAAAAAATTCACTGATTTGAGGACAGTTTTTTTCAAGTGCCATTTCATTAAAAACACAAGGATGTGAAATTCCTTTCTCATTTCTTTGCCAGCTTATGTAACTTATAAAAGTAAAATTTAAAAAATCAAAGAATAAGTTATCAAGTCATAACTGATTGTGATAATGATATTTATTTAAGAGGTCTGTTTTTAAGACAACAAAAATGTATACAATTTTGTAATTTGGCATGTTTGTATCCTATATCATAAAATTTGGTGTCTTTACATCATAGCACCATTCACTACATATAGACCACATGTTTGATCATGAAGCTACACCTCTGAGTTTAAAAATAATTAAGCAATATTAAGATTAAGTAAAGAAACCAGTGTCTGATCAGTAGTGTAATATAGCAATGAGCTACTCAAAAGTGCTGCTCTACTAGTGAGGTAGTAGATCACAAGCTGTTCATCCCACCCAGAACCTACATATATACAGGCAAGACTTTCTCAATGAAGGAGTCAGAGCATTTGGTTTACATGACTGTACAAACTCAGCTCCTTGGTTCATCCCAAACCTGTGATAGACAGGCATGGGTGTGAAGACCACAATCTGAGCCATATGCTTTAGTGATACTGTCGGTAGCCTGACCATATCTCTCCAGCATTCACCTCTTATTCGGAAAGCTACTCACCTACTTACTTTGTAGGTAAAGACCTACAAATCTCTGCTGGAGGGCTTTTTCTCTGGCACATGGGAGCACACTCAGCCAGGAGTGCCAGAAGATTAATGACCCTTGAAGCAGCCCCCTACCAAGAATAGTCAGGGAACTGGTAGATAAATACTCCAGCTTCCTCATCACTCAGTTGGGTTGACTCTGAGATTCATCAATCTTCATTCATCTGAGATTCAGTGCTCCTACAGATCCCCTGTGGAACTGAGCCTCAGTTGCCCACAGTGGAACCTGTGTGAAACCACATCTGTTATCAGCCTTCCTCACATTCTCTGATTCAACTCCCTACTCTAATGCCCATGCTTCTTAGGATCACCTCTGAAATAAACTACTTGGACTCAAACCTTGTCTCCGAGTCTGCTTCTAGGAGAGTGCAGTCTAAGACAAGTATTGGTACTTTCCTAGTCAAGTATACGTTAATTCTAACCTTAGAAAAAAGTGCTCATTTCTTTACATATAACATATCTACACGATGTAGTGTCTTAAATGGCTACAGTTTAAAAAGTATTAAAATATTTACAAGAGTGCCAGAACTATTCTTAACTCTGCCACGATGAGAACTATTTTAAAATTCCATCAAAAAATCCATGTCTGAATTCCGAATAATTATCTGGCATATGTCTAGTAAGAATAGTCATTCAAAAATGTGATTTGCATCATTTAAGCATTTTTGACAGAAGTGTAACAAAACTTCTTTGCTCCTTCTTTCTGGTAGTTATGCGACTTAGGGTTCCTAGGCTTCAAATGACATATTCTGTAACAATGCAATTAAAAGCCTTTGAAAAGAACCTTTTCCCCTTCTCAGGGATTACCAAATGATGAAACACCTGAGAAGAGTTGAGATAAATGTTTGAGGCTAATAACCTGAACTGGCTCAGGATTCAACTGTCATCACTTACCTCCACTCTGCAAATAAGACAAGATCTACAAGTGACCCCTGACTACAAATATGGATTCAATGATGGACCCACACAGAGGATGCGTGTGACCTTTACCACAAGAAGAGCCACCAACCTGAGTACTTAATTCTACAGCAGTGCTTCTCAAACTATCAGCAGTGAAAGACCCGTTAGTTTTTACTGTGCCACAAAATGCTAATTTTGTCAAATACTCTAAAAATAAATTCCTAGACAAATGAAATGAAGAATAAAACATACAAAATATAAGACCCCATCACAAGCAAACCCAAATACACTATGTGTAAGAAGTGTTACTATTTTTTGCTTAACATTCAATCCACATAAAGTATTTGAAAGACTCAAAACAACAGTGACAAAACTGCTAATAGTATATCTTTTGGGTCAACACCCAATTTCAGCATGTGGAGGGGGCAGAGCTTCCCCACAGAAATGAGCAATTCTCAGACACCAGCAGGGCATCCTACAATTTAACGTAAAACTGACACTATCTACCAGAAGATAGCATCAGATTCTACAGGTTAAGTACTCAGCCCTGCAAGACTACTCCTCCCTCAATTCAAATATCAACTGCAAGCCCAGACTATTACCTGTTTCTGACCTTCCAGCTACCCGTTGGAGGTTCCAATGACACCCTCCTTGGTAACTCAATTTATATGCCAGCTGAAAGTCCAGGTTTGCTGACAAACTATAAATATAAATATAAAAGCTATAAATCAGAGGTTCCCACGACCCGCTCCTTGAGTTCAATTAATTTGCTAGAGAGCCTCACAGAACTCAGAGAAACATTTTACTTACTAAATCATGAGTTTATTATAAAAGGATATGATGCAGGAACAGCCAGATGTAAGAGATGCTTAGGGCAAGGTATGTGGGAAAGAGTGAGGAACTTCTACACCCCTCTGGGCTCTCCACTCTCCCCATATCTCCACGTGTTCACCAATCCGGAAGCTCTCCGAAACCTGTTTGTTTGGGGTGTTTATGGAGGCTTCATTACATAGTCATGATTGATTAAATCACTGGCCATTGAAACGAATCAATGGACAAAGGCTTAATCTCCAAAATATATAAACAGCTCATGCAGCTCAATATTAAAAAAAACAAACAACCCAATCCAAAAATGGGCAGAAGACCTAAATAGACATTTCTCCAAAGAAGATATACAGATGGACAAGAGGCACATGAAAAGCTGATCAACATCACTAGTTATTAGAGAAATGCAAATCAAAACTATAATGAGGTGTCACCTCACACCAGTCAGAATTGCCATCATCAAAAAATCTACAAACAACAAATGCTGGAGAGGCTGTGGAGAAAAGAGAACCCTCTTGCACTGTTGGTAGGAATGTAAATTGATACAGCCACTATGGAAAACAGTAGGGGGGTTCCTTAAAAAACTAAAAATAGAACTACCATATGACCCAGAAATCACACTACTGGGCATATACCCTGAGAAAACCATAATTCAAAAAGATACATGCCCCCCAGTGTTCACTGCAGCACTATTTACAATAGCCAGGTCATGGAAGCAACCTAAATGCCCATCAACAGACAAATGGGTAAGGAAGATGTGGTACATATACACAATGGAATATTACTCAGCCATAAAAAAGAACAAAATTGGGTCATTTGTAGAGACGTGGATGGACCTAGAGACTGTCATACAGAATGAAGTAAGTCAGAAAGAGAAAAACAAATATCGTATGTTAATGCATATATGTGGAATCTAGAAAAAATGGTACAGATGAACCAGTTTGCAAGGCAGAACTAGAGATACAGATGTAGAAAACAAACGTATGAACTAGGAGATTGTGACTGACATATATACACTAATATGTATAAAACAGATAACTAATAAGAACCTGCTATATAAAAAATAAAATAAAATTTAAAAAGAAAAAAAAAATCATTGGCCATTGGCAAATGATTTAACCTCCAGCTCCTCTCTGCTCCTAGGAGGTCAGGATGTGGGATGAAAGTTCCAACCCTCTAATCACATGGATAGTTCCTCTGGTGACCAGCCCCCACCCTTAGGTGATCTAGAGTCTTTCCAAAAGTCACCTCATTAACATAACAAAAAACACCTTCACCACTCTCCGCACTTAAGAAATTCCCAGGGTTTTAGGAGCTCTGTGCCAGAAATGGCAATGAAGGCCAAATCTATATTTCTTATTACAAATCACAATATCACAGTATTGTAACATGGACGAGCCAATTTTGACTCCGTGTTGAATCTGTTTCTTTGACTCTAGCCTTTGCTTTTCATTGCTTTTGTTATTATAATCATACATAATGGCCTGTCTCAGGGAATCCTACCCACCTGTGAATGGCTGAAGAAATTAGCACATCCCCTCCCAGAGGCTGGCCATTCCAGGAGATGTTTTGCAAGACTGATGGTCCTTTTTACTTTACTTCCTCCCCCCTCTCCCTCTCTATTCTGCCTTTTTACTTTACTTCCCTCTCTGATTCTGTCAAAGAAACTGGCATCCAGACCCCCATAAGATGGTAATTTTGAGACATTAGTCTTCCATCTTCTCAGTCTGCCGGCTTTCCAAATAAAGTTGTATTCCTTGCCTCAACACCTCATCTCCAATTTATTGGCCTATCGTGCGGTGAGCAGAGTGAGCTTGGACTCGGTAACATTCTTTCATTACATACATTGAGTGCTATCCAACCACTGTCACATGCACTTCTAGTTCCACATGACTTTCACTATAACATGTGACTTAATGTTTTTCAATGACAGATTTTTAAAATTATGTGTTATTTTAATCTATTTTGCCAATTGACAGAGAGAAGAGATGACAATTTTCATCTTTTCATTGTCCATAAAAAAATCTCTGCATTTTCTTAGATTATTCAGATAGTTTGATTTGTTCTGAAGAACCATCTCGAATTGGCTTATGTTGATCAGAAGGAAAGAATCAATTGCCAGTTTATGATGATTATGTTAGATTTAGGGATGCCTGATGGTTTAACACTTGGTTGGAGTCTCTTTACTCCATTAACTGCAGGAACTTATAGGAGTATGCCAGATCCGAGTTAACTGAGAATCCAATTGAGGATTGTGTACTGGACCAAGCACCCAGACATCATTTTCAAGACTTTTTATTAGTTAATGAATGATTAGTCATGACAGGGAACAGAATACAGCCACCCCAAGATGTGCCAACTTTGCATGTGGATTGATTTGACTGAAAGCAACTGAGACCCAGCAAACTCAGGAAAAACTTTTTACCTCTCCCTTAACTGCCTAAAAGAATTTCAATAGGGAGCCTATACCAGGAAGAGGGCTATCACCAGAGATAACATTTTCATCAGAAAGACTTATCTCCATGGCAGGGCAAACATTTGTTTACCAAACATTTGCTCTTCCCATCTTCCTGTGAATTGTCTTCCCCCCTCTTGAAGCCTCAGATCCCTACCCCCTTATTCTTAGTTCAGGATGGCATATAAGCCTCAACTGTCTGACTGTCTCATATTTTTATGGGGCTTCTGTATGTATATAACTTGTTTCTCCTGTTTGTCTTATGTCAATGTAATTATTGGACCAGCTAAAGAACCTAGAAGGGAAGAAGGGAAATTTTTTCCATCCCTAAACTCATCACCCTGAGTGTGCTGCATGTAGAAAATGGAAAGGACCTCAGACTGAAGGCTTCCCTGAATTGAAATGGTCCATGGCCACTAGGGCTCCATCTTTGTGTACATTTCTGATTTGAGTGTGGAGTGAGTGGGACACTAGAAGTGACGATATGAGTGATAAGCCCTCTACTTTGCTGTTACTGTGCATTCTCTTTTTACTTATCTTGTACACTTCCTTAAAGCTAAGTTAACATGTTGCTATGTGAAGTTCAGTGTATTTTCCACTTTTGATTGTCAAACCAAACCCAAGGCCATGCTGCTGGTGAAGCAGACTAGGCCCTATATGACTGACTATGCAAAAGATAACATTTCCAATATATTTTTGCCTATGGACTGGGATAAGTTAGGCATTAGCGATCAGTTAGCAATGAGCTGAGTCTTCCCATAATCTTTGTGATAAACAGAGGGAAATTTTCTTGAAGGATTTAAAGAACTTGAGCATCCTTAAGTATGGCTGTAAAGTAGATTTTAAAAAATCATATCTACTATGGGTTTTTACTGTGCTGCAATAAAGATGAAAATCAGAGCACATGCAGTAAATAACTCACTATCCAAATCTCAGCTACCTCTGCAAACCTCATGCAGGCAAGCCAGCAAGCACATAATACATATGTAAATATTCTGAGCTACAATCTGTGAAGTCTCAAAGTCTGTAAGTTAATTTTTTTTCCACTTAATTTTAAAAAACCTGTTTGTGTACTTTAAGGCAGTGCCTTTTTGCTTTTATTTTATAGAAAAAAAAGTAATAACCTTGGATATCTGGTTTCTTAGGCCACAAAAAAGTTACAAGTACTAGGAAAAGGAACTAGTGTAAGCAGATTCATTGATAATAAAAAGCGAGAGGATATAGTCATATGACATGTGAATAAAGAAACAAACTATTAAAAGCTAAAAAATAATCCAAGGGCTTCCCTGGTGGCACAATGGTTAAGAATCTGCCCGCCAATGCAGGGGACACAGGTTTGAGCCCTTGTCCGGGAAGATCCCACATGCCGCGGAGTAACTAAGCCCGTGTGCCACAACTACTAAGCCTGCGTTCTAGAGCCCGCGAGCCACAACTACTGACCCTGAGTGCCACTACTACTGAAGCCCATGCACCTAGAGCCTGTGCTCTGCAACAAGAAGCTACCACAATGAGAAGCCTGCGCACCGTGACAAAGAGTAGCCCCTACTCACCACAACTAGAGAAAGCACGCGCACGGCAATGAAGACCCAACTCAGAACACCTCCCAAAAAAGATAATAATAATCCAAGCATCTCAGCACCATTTAGAGGAGAAATAGGCTTGTATACAGTCCTGTGGACCACTATACTGGATACTGAGGTGATACAAATATTTCAACCATTTCAAACCATATTCTATTTAAGAGGAAAGAAGGTCTATGTCTACTCCTTTATTCAATTATTACACACTGAGTACATAATACAAAGCCAGTTACTGTACTTAGAAATAGAAACATGACAAATACAATAATGCAATCTCTAGTTAAAGCATATTTAGAAAGATAATTAATCCTAAATGGTTGAACTGTAAAATCTTTAAAAAAGGTAAAGTATAAAAAGTAGAATGAAAAAAAAAATGCTACCAAATTTAACTCCTTTTCCAAAGTTTTCAAGGAATATGGCCTATCACACCTGCATTTGTCAGTGTTTCTTCCTGGTCTAAAATTCAAGCTGTTATTCCACCAGGAAATGGTTCTTATATTTTTAGACCACGTTTAAAGAAAACAATATTTTTAAAATAAAGATTGGTCTCATAATGAATAAATAGAATAGAAATGAAGAAATGTGAACTACTGCTTCGTTAAAAAAAAAGATGTAGATCATGACATGAGCTCAAATTTTAATTTAACTAATCTGTTACAATTTCACTGAATGTTCTAACCTGTGTACAAATTATTGTAGTAAATCTTAATTCAAAAATATATTTTGGGGCACATTTTCAGTAGGAGTCAGCAAGAATCAGATCAGATTTAACTTTTAGAAGTTTACATTTCCACTGATCAGATTGTTTAAGTGGAATGACATAATAAACAATGTTTGAATACACCATAAATGTTTATCACCATAACAAAACTTATTAGTCATTTAAGTCTAAATATTATCAAGATCACAAATGTGTTATAAAGAAAATATAATTTAATTCCATAAGGTAAGAATTACAAAAAAGAAAATAACTTTTTTAAAAAAAGAAAGGAAGAGAGGGCTTCCCTAGTGGCGCAGTGGTTGAGAGTCCGCCTGCCGATGCAGGGGACACGGGTTCGTGCCCCAGTCCGGGAAGATCCCACATGCCG